AAACCAGGCATGTCTTCGTAAGACCAAGCAAAGATCTCCATGTAATCATGTAGCATCTGGATCAATCGTTGCTTCACGCTGAGCTCTAGATTGGCACCAATCTTGACTTCTTTTCTATCTGTCTCAGTACCCAAGTTCACTGTTTTCACCGGCTCTTCGTGCAGCTGAATGGCCCTCTCTTCCTGGAGTAGCAGTCTTGCGAGTTCACCAGGCACTTCGCAATCATCTTCACCTTCGTCTTCGGCTAAGTTGATCGGATTTTCGAAGTCATAACTGGCAGTAGCAGAGCTGTTACCAGTGAGATCCAGAGTGGATTGAAACCTGTATAAGTGAGTGTATGTAAATATAGTTGTTTTGCAATATATAACACAGAAAGAAAAAGAGCACAAGATTTGAAATGCAACAAACGTCCAATGTTTTGATTAATGATATATGGAAATGTCATACAAAAAAGCCCTCACAAATGGAGCCACAGTGCCCTGGGTAGGACATCGAGCCAATAAAAGTTTCAACATATTGTTTGTTACAAATTGAAAACAAAAGAGTTAATTACTGCGTGACAAATGTAACAGGTGTAAAATCCTTTGCCGTCCAGTTGCTTGGTCCGTTGTTGGTGGTTGGATAGATCCAACTGTCAAATTCTGCTTCCTCTACGTCCTCCTCGATAGCATTCACCCTTGGGTTGGTGATGAACACCGGAGCCTTTCTGATCCTTTCCTTGCGAACAACCCTCTGAGCCTCTGCAGTGAAGCCCAGCCCAAACTTGTCGGTCTTTTGAGTGAAGTCAGGAAGTTGACCCCAGTTTGCACATTTGCCTTTCTCGATTACAGCCCGGGCATCCTTCAGGGAAGCCATCCTCAGAGGAAAGTCTTCTTCAACCATTGTCTCAGCTGACGCCAATGTTGGAGGAACCTCCTCAAAATGTTGAAAGGGGGTTTCAATAAACTCCCCGTCCATCTCGATATACCGGAATGAATTCAAGTGACTTACCATGTATTCCTCCTCACCCTGCACAGTAACAATCTTCCCTTTGACAGGGTATTTGAACTTTTGGTGTATAGTGGATGTTACCGCCCCAGCTTTGTGAATCCAGGGTCGACCCAGCAAACAGGAATAAGATGGACGAATATCCATCACGTAGAACGTTGAGTCAAAGACTTGGGAACCCACACGAATAGGAATGTCTACCTCACCGTGCACCATCCTCTTAGAACCGTCGAGTGGTATGGTGACAGTAGAAGATAGTTTGTGGAGGTGGAGGACGGTGGCGATACATGGCGGGGGGAAAGAGAACCAGTGTTGCATTGTGTTCAGTGGTGTCACGGACCATGGTGTACCAAAGCCAAAAGTATTGGTATAGTCGAAGGGAAGAAGGGGGAAAGAAAAAAAAAAAGAGAAACTAATGTTTGAATTTTCACATCGGTTGAGGAGTTGGCCTGGTGTAAAGGTCTTTTATAACAAAATTTCATTTTATTTACCAAACTTCCACCGTGTTATATTTTCTTATCATTGGACGTTTCACATCGGTGCAAATTTAGGTCTGATGTGAAATCCTTTATAACAAAATTTCATTTATTTACCAAAATGTCACCATATTATATTTTTTCCTAAATCAATTTTTTTTAACATAATTGGAAATAAATGTCTGATGTAAAATCCTTTGACAAATACTTTTCACATCATATATCTTGAAACCTGATGTAAAATCCTTTAATCAAATGTCTTATTTTTAGTAGTGCATCTACCTATCATCTTAAGGTCTGTTTGGTGCGCAATATATGATAGAGACATGATATGATATAAAATATGATAAAGATAGGATGTAATATAGACATGATAAGACTTATCCTATCATGTGTTTGGTTCAAACAAAATACCAAATATAATAATATTATATATACCAAAATATTTTGTAAACTATTTTAAGTTTTATAAATTGATAAAAAATTAATGATTTTTTTAAAATTTAAAAGAAAATTTATTAACACTACTGAATAAATAATTTCAATTTTCCTTAAAAAATATCATGGATTCTATTATATATATTACATAAGCAAAATAAAAATATGTATATAATATGTAAACATTGTAAGAAAATGTATTTAATTTTGATAAAAAATAAAATTAGTATACACATTTTTAAGATTTTAATAATTATTTTATTTTTAAATATTCTAATTTATTAGATTTTCATTTTTTATATTATATAAAGTTAAAAAAATTACCCTTATGATAATTATACATATCTTTCAAAAACTTATTTATTAATATTTTTTTAATTTAATATTAAATTATTTTTATTTTTTAGCATATTTAAATTTTTATTTTAAATTATATTTTATAAGGATAAATTTGTAAATTATTTTCCTATTCTATTCTACCAAATTCTAACTCAGCTCATATTCAAGATAACAATTTGAACTAGTAAGACATGATATGATAAATTTCAAGATTAACTTATCATATCTTGTTGTGTCATCAAATATTGGATTGAGATAAGATATGATACGGATATCATATCATGTCTCTTATCCTGTACACCAAACAGGTCATTAAAATTTTGAATGAATATGTGATATTTTTCCCACTTGTGTAGATGGGTCTTTAACTTTTAGATGAGTGTTTAATATAATATGAATATTTTCCCTTATAATGATCTATCATATTTTTGATTTTTTAATTTTTTAATTCCATATTAATAATTAATTAATTATTAAAAAATTCCTTCAAACATACAATTATCTTCTTAAAAGTAAAACAAACCAAAATTAAAAAAAAAAATCATTTCTCTTAAAAAAAATCTCTTCATCTTTCCTAAAACAAATCTTAGAAAATATTCCAAAATCAAATCTCATAATAAAAAGTAACCCAAAAAGACAATATGAAAACTTAGAATAAAAAATAACAAAACCAAATCCCATTAAAAATTCAAACAAAAAAAATCGGAACTTAGAAAAATATGCCGTTGAATGAAAAAACTTGTCCACTAAAACATTTAGTGATCATTTCTAAATAAATCTTACTAATTTTCATCTATTTTTTCATATATTTATATAGGGCTTTTCATATCCACCCTTATGTGTGCTCTTCCAGTACTATAAAAAGTTACAACTGTCCTTAGCATTTGTAAATGTATTTTCGAACGTATTTTTTAAAATTATTTTTCATATTAAATTGAAGATGAACACTCTATTATATCAAAATTTAATTTAAAAATACATCTCCATATATTTAAAAAGTGAGTTTGAAGATACATCTTTCTAAACACTATTTACTGAAAGTTTAATGGGTGGTCTGGATATACATTTTCAAAAAGTTTTCTTTCTATATCTTCGCATCAGACTTTTCCTCTTCCTCCTTCTTCATTTTCTTAAAAAAAAAACTTCTTGTCATATCAAGCTTTTGAGCTCTCACATCTATTCAAACTTCTCTCCCTAGCAAATTTCTACCGATAGAGTTCTTTCTCCTCCTTTCTAGCATCTCATACATTCAGACTTCTACTTATCATTAATTATATTTGGTAAAATTTTCAAAATTCTCTCTCTTTAAATTTTGATTTGTAGTTAGTTTTTTAAGCTACGTTCATTGTTTTAGGTACAATAAATATTAGTGTAAACGAAATTGGTAGGCTACAAGAATATGCATTGTCATATTTTTGGAAGATTAGAACAAAAATTATATTTCTATTAGAATTACAATTTTATCTGAAGATGTATCTCCAAATCTTTTTTTTTAGAACTATTTTTAGAGATGTATCTCCAAATTTGACTCACACTAAAATTGAATTAATTTTGTTATTTCTCTTTAATTTATTTATTCAAAATTATATAAAGGATTTAGTAGTGAAACATATACATAACGTAAAAGAATATTATATACTCTATCATATTTAAGGATAAATTGAGAGTGACTTTCCTTTGAAAATTGTGTAATGGCTACATTGAGATTTATGACATTTATTTCAAATGTAACTTTTGTTGTTATTATTTAAAGAGAAATAATAGTGTTTAGGTTTCACACATCTGTTTTACTTTTAAAAATATGGGGAAATATACTTAGTTTAAGTGATTTTTATGTTGTTAGAACATCTAATTCAAAATGAGTCCTGAATCTATTTCTATCAAAATATTTTTTAGAGTAATAATACATTGTTGTAATGGATTAAATTCCGAACATATTATTAATATATATAAAAAAATAATATATGTTAAAATCAGATGTTAAAATCAACAACTGTTGTAATATGATTTTGCAATCAAATGTTAATATTATTAGACATGTGGACATTTTTCACCCTCCAGCTTGTGGTGTTTGTTGAGCAATTTACTCAATTATTTTGAACAACCTTTGTTAGTCACATAGTCAAAAGCACTTGTGACATGCAAAGTTAAACAACCTTTGCTTCTGACACTCTAAGGAAGTGACATGCAAAGTTAAACAATAACAATGATCATAAACATTACTAGACTTCAAATCCTCACACATTTTGTAGTCATACATGCAATTCTGTCAGGGATAAAGAATTATCAATCAGCAAAATGTAGTTGTTCAAGTCCTATGTATAGGATTTCAATTTGATGCATTCTCATAATCACACTGTCATTGATCTAAACTGTCCAACCAACTTCAAATGACTTACATTCTACTTTTGTACTATTTTGAACTTGCTTTACAAAAATCAGAACCTGATTGTCCCATCTTCATTTGAGAGACAAACTCGCGTGATTGGATCAAATATACGATTCACTCTATTTAAAATACAGAAAAGTCTCGTTAAGCCAACTCAGTTGATAACTATACAGAGATTTCATAGGAAAAAAACAAAAAAAAACACAAATATTCTTAAAATGAACTAATAATACAATTTAAGATTTAGCTTATAATAAATTTCATTGAATGTGATATTTAATTTTACAAAACTGATCAATTAGCAACACAAGGAAGAGGTTCACTATACTTCTGTCAAATTCACGGTCAATCCAAACACGTAAGCAACCTTATCAACGAGCGCGCTGAGTTATATAATCATGCTGTTCAAGTGTTGGCGTTGTTCTAGTTCCGGGTGCTGTAGGAGCTCTCACATGTCCAACCATTGAAACCTGAAGTGCTTCTTCTTGATAAGCCCTTCTCTCCATCTGAACCATTCTTGACCTTTTCTTAACCCTAACAAGCATTGCTACAAGAAGCAAACCTAAAAGAAAAGCAGCTATAGCAGCACCAATAGTACTCCCTACCGCGACTTTCCATCGACTTAGTCTTAAAGGCTTTGTAAAATCATCATTATCTTCTTGTTGTTGTAAAGACTCAACAACCAAACCAAAATGTCCATGCATTTTAGCCTCACAAACAAGTGTTGCCAAAGGTTTCGTTTTCGCTACTGTCATTCTTCCATTTCCTTCAAAACTTGCACATAAGGGACTCACTTTGATACCCTTTTCTTCTTTGTTGTTGAAATCAATTGTTATGAGATTTTCGCCCGCTTCAATTCCAAGCTGAAAAGGGTTACTACTAGAATTAGAATCTTCATCAGCATTGTAAGCTAAAATTCCAACAATTGGAGAAACAAGTTGATACTTAGATAGATCCTTATAGTTAGCATAATATATAGAAGACCAATTGTTATACTCTATACTTTGTCTAATCAACATTACTCTTTCAATACATGGATGAATAGTAACACCAATACCAAGATGAAACTCCTTTAGTTTTGCACCATACCTTGTTAAACTTCCACATCTAAACCTCACAGTATCTACTTTGATGCCTGATAGATTTGAAGGTAGTTTCACTGATTGTGGTATTCCTGTCTTGAAGTTTTTGTCTAATGAAGTGAATGTGTGATCTCTTATGAGGAGATCAAGAACATGAGGTGATTTGGTAGTTTGAGAATGAGATTCATGAAAATTCAATGACATGATGGAAAATGTCATCAAAATAAGAGTGAAAGATGAGTCCATGAGACAAGAAAAACAAAAAAGAATCAAAGCTTTAACAGAATTGATGTGACATAACTTGAAAAGGAAAGACTTGTTTTCTTTTTCAGATGAAAGAAAATGGCCAAATCAAAATGAATGCTATTCTATAACAAGAAAGGTTTTGCAGTGTTAATAGATGAGAAAGGTTGGGGTAGCATTAGTACACACACTAGTACTTGTTATGTTTGTTGGAAATGTTTGCTTTATCTAAAAACTCATACATTGTGCTCTATCAAAAGGGATGCTTCTTTTAGTAAAGCACAAATGTCATGATCAAATTCAATGACCAAAAGAAAAAATAAATAGTAAAAAATGTCAACCATTCATCAAGATCAAAGGATTGAGATTTCGAGTTTTTAATCTATCAGAGTCTCGGGATGTGAGTTATCTCGTCATTATTCAATGGCTTAAGTAAATTTTTAGTTGATAATTTGTCAAAGTCATTATGTAAAATGTCTGATTTATATCTAACACTTACAAAAATCTATTTTTATAGTGACAACTACCATTCTTTTTTAAAAGAATTTCATGTGGTACATTTCACACTCACTCTTGTTTTTAATTTAACTTTTGAAACATGATTCAAACGGTCTGAAACCATTGACTCTCTAACGAATAACTCATTGGTTATTTAATATGCTCTGATATCATCTAAGTTTTTTGATTGAATCTATCCCAATTTTTATAAAACCGATTTGAAATGAGATAAATGTCTCCACTAATAAATTGTACTAGAGACATTTTTTATCAAATACATGTTCAATGTCTAACATGTATCAACTCGACACAGACATATGTGATTACGTTTAATTTATTTATTTTTCAAATTATTAATAACGACTACGTGTCAATATCAATGTTATGTCCAATGCTCCTCTCAACATCGGTGTAACATAACTTTCAGGTTGTATTTCATCAAACTTTTTAAACATTATACCTAAGAGATGGTGGGGGGAGATGTAGTATATCTACCTGCAAATGTGAATGTGCTAGTGCAAATAATGGAAAGAATTTGAAGAAATGATTCATGAGCGTGGAATGATGATGACACTTGATGGTGATAAAAAGCAAAAACAAATAAAAAGAGTGGGAAGAAGGAGAGTGTTAAGCATGCTGAAAAATGAAAGAAAAGCATTGTTGTTGTGAATGGGGTCCAATAACATTAATTGTGTTTGGTATAACGTGCTATGTCTCCCACTTGTACCACTCAATTGGTCTCATCTTAGGCTTTACCAAACATGCATCACCTTTTTCTTACTCAAAACTAAAGCCTTGCTCATTTTTCTTTTTTTCGCAAACCCCACAAACCCAAATTGCAACATTTGAAGCAATGATTTTGGTTTCTTTTTTTGAATCTACTAACGTTGTTTAAGTAATAAGTTCCTATTATAATCTCTAGCTTTATTGTTTATTTATGAATTTCGTATGTATTCTCATTACTAGTTGAGGCTCTATAGAGTAACAAGGGTAAAATCACTCTTCACTAGTTGAGGGTCTATCAAGTAAAAATGGTAGAATCATTCTCTAAGAAGTTTAATTTTTTATGATTCGGATAGAATCAAGTACCTAGTAGCAATTATTACTAAGCTAATCCAATTGAGTTCTCTAGTTCCATTATCGAAGCATTGCTATGACTATGAAGAAGATAACTATCTTTTTATAAACAATTTGTACTTATGTATTAAGTAGAATTTGAATTTGAGAGGAGCATAATCTTAAAACTAAAAAAAGATAGTTATATCTACAATGAATAATAGAGGAAAGAAACCATAACATATATATATATATATATATATATATATATATATATATATATATATATATATATATATATATATATATATATATATATATATATATATATATATATATATATATATATATATATATATATATATATATATATATATATATATATATATATATATATATATATATATATATATATATATATATATATATATATATACACTAGAAATAGCAATATTTGTTTGTAAATAAATCTCATATTTTTGAAGGTATTTTTTTTATAAGCAATTAAATTATCAATAGAAATCGAGTATAAGAGGTACTCAAATCCACTACAAATAAAGAAAATCAATCCCTCTATTTAACACAATTTAGAGGAGAATTAAACCAATTATAGTAACTACAAAAATTCGATGAAATACAACACATCCCCATCCATTTCCAAGAAAAGAAAATGGTAGAAGAGAAACACTCATCGAAACTAAAGACTTTGTCTTTAAATAAAATAGCATTCCATATAATCCAAAGGTTCTATAGAGTCGATATCCAAATGATCCCAATAGAGTTTCTATCTGATAAGTTCTTCACTTGTTGAATAGAAAACAAAAGAGACGGAGAACCGTGAAAAGAAAAGTTTAACCGGTTACCTGTCCACTTATTCACCGCCTCCCAAATACGAGTCGAGCACACACTAGAATAAAAAAGATGAGAAATATCTTTTGCCTCCCGGAAACAAAACACACAGCAAGAATCAAAACTATTGTTAATGACTCCTTGCATGATAAGTTGTTGTCTAGTCGGAAGCCTATCGAGAATCATTCTCCAACCAAAAACATGAATTTTTTATGGGACCTTTATCTTCCGCAAATTAGACAGTAGGCCTTTCACCTCTATTGGTAAGTGTAATATGGTGGGAGAATTGACTTTTTTAGTTTTATCCAAATGTGCGAAGAGCAAGAGTCGCCATCGACTTTTTTTTATCCAATATTTAGGAAAGGTGAAAAGAATATGAAAGACCTTTGATAGATTTTGAGTTCGAGGGATAAGTTATGAAAAGGGAAGGTGTTAGCACTCTTTACATCCGTAGTTATCTACGGGCTCTTAATTGCTTAACTCACTTTTGAAATAAAATCTTACTTAGTGTGTGTGATTTGTTTGAAAATATTTTGAATGCCAATGTAAGGCAAACTTTGTAATAATTCTTGTATCAGTCCTCAAGAATGTTTACAAAGCGTTTTTTTGAGAATATTTGTTTTAAAAGTGACGTGTAAAAAATGTTTTGGAAAAGTTGTGAGCAAACAATTAGGAGTTCTTACCCACTAAAGGTCTTTCTTGTTATTTTCCTTCTCCTTTAGAGATAATATTGTCCATACCATTAGTTGGTAGGTAATCCCATCTATTGGATGTGAAGGGACATGCGTAGGGTCATCGTATGGTCATCGAAGGCAACGCGTAAGGATACTTTAGCAATTGTATCGGATGGACTATCATCATTTACTCGTAGGGACTAGATCATTTTGTAGGCAGCTCGAAGGGTCATCGACGAATTATGATCTTTATTCGAAAGAGACTATGATGATTTGATCGAGGATCTTTTGCTAAAGTATCTCCACTTTTGAGAGACGTGACCAAGTATCGTAAGGCAACAAGAGAGGATATCCTAGAGATGCAAGTGTGAAGAGTGTATTCATTTCAGTTATTTATCTTGAATATTTGGGTTTTCTATGTTCAGTTATTATTCTTGCCATACAAACCCTAATTACTAGCAATTCAACATATGCAGAAAATAAGGTGCGGAACGTAAAGTGCGGAAATTAAACCTAAGATATTACATCCTGTGAGCAGTTACATAATATAAAAAAAATACGATAAAAGATAAATCTACGCTATTACAATTAAGAACGTGACCTATACACTTGATCTATGAATTTAAATAGCAAAAAGAAATAAGAAAATATTTTAAAAAAAATTTAAAAGACCTAAAGTTCTAAGTATTACTATTTTTGGCATTTTATAGAAAATAATTTAAGTGACAATAATTAAGAAAAACCTAAATTCTAATTTATTTTAATATTTAAGAAAAAGGTTGATTAGTTAATTAATTTAGTAAATAAAAATATATAAGAAAATTTTAATTACTAACTAAAACCCTAATCATAATTTATTAGTATTAAGAAAAAAAGATTAGCTTAATTAATGATTGATTAATTAAAAATAATTAGGGTTAGTAAATAAAAAAGAAAGGAAATTAGGTTAGAAAAAATAGGGTAAAAGATTTTGCATGGGGTGGGTGTTGAACCCACACCCCTAAAGTCATAGGCGCTCTTCCTTGCCACTGAGCCAGCGTGTTGATTGTAATAGAAAAATAGGAATTGATCAATATAGAATAAGTTTGCGCGTTAGTTTGAAAAATAGCAAAAAAATATTGCAAGACGCAAGGATCAAATCCACGCCCTTCATGTTACATGCCTTTGTCTCAACCAACTGCGTTGCGCTTCAATTTTGTCATAAAACACAAACCAATAAATATATAATAAACAAGTGAACCAGGGAAGCGCCGAAGCCCTAGCTCTGGTCGTCTTCTCCGGTGAGGTCAAATGCCAACCTGCAAAAATAACACGAGTTAGAGATTAATAGGGACCATATCCCCCTAATTTGACCCTTGTGAATCCAATGGTGGCATTCTTCTTGGCTAATTCAAACTATACAGTGAGATATGATCAAAATAAAGCAACATGAGTATTCTGGCATCATGGGCCTCATGCAGGGGATAAAACCTGTGCTATTTTGTCTCAGGAATATATTGAAGTTGTTAGTTTAAATCAAAGCATCATAAATATTGAAATAGGAATTTCATAATATATGCCAAATCAGTGATGTTTTGAATGCATGTTTTAGGCATATTTGATCCTCAACAATGATTGGAACTTACTCTATGATACCTTAGGGATTGATTTGAATGGTTACCTAACCTTGAGAATGGATGAAAACTAGAATTTGAGTTCAACCCTTTCCTTGCAAATTTTCAATCTCAAAACCCTTGTTTCTTGGGCATCCTTGCGTATTTCTTTTGGTCTGAACATGTAGTGTACTTGTAGGAGAAAAGATTAGGTTAAATGGTGGGCTTGGACATCATATGAAACCATACCTTTGATTTTGTTTGAAAATATGTTGAAATATTAAAAAATCAATGAAGATTTGATTCACAAATAAGTCTACACGGTTTGCAACAT